TCTTTTAAGTCCAAGAAGGAGCAAACTCTAGTGCATTAAAACCAACCACATTAATCTACCCAGTGGGGTAAAATATAAGGAATACAGAAAACTAGTTTAAAAGTGGGCAGATGATCTCAGTACACACTTCTCAAAAGAAGAAATTCATATAGCCAAAAAAAAAAAAAAAATGCATGAAACAATGCTTCGTACCTTTGGCTATGAGGAAATGGCAGACTGCAGTGAGATACCATCTCATCTTAGTTAGAATGCCTGTTATAAAAAATAAATAGCTTGCTAGTAAGTGGAGAAACAGAAACCCTTGTAGAAATCAGTACAGCCATTATGGAAACCACTACAGTGAGTACTCAAAAATTTAAAAATAGAATACTATATAGTCCAGCAGTCCCATTACTGCATATCTGTCTAAATAAATGAAAGCATTAGGGCAGAGACATCAGCACTCTCCTGTTCACTGTGGTACTGTTCACAGTAGGCAAGAAGTATAAACGGTGTAAGGAAATCGGTGTATTACAAGTGGAATACTCTTCTGTGGGAAAAGAAAAGAACATTGTGACAGCGTGGGCAGTACTGGAGAATCACTGTGTTAAATACACCAGGCACAGAAAGACAGGTGCTGCATAGTAAGGATGGTGGTTACCGGAAGCTAGGGAGAGTAGGAGTGGAGGGAGGGAGGAATACCAAGTTCCTGTTCAGTAAGAGCAAGAAGTTCTGGGCTGGGGATTTAGCTCAGTGTTTCCGTTGTCTGCCTCACCAGCACGAGGACCCAAGTTCGGTCCCCAGTACCACGAAAAAAAAGTTCTGATGTGCTGTTGCACAGTAATAAATATAATTATAAGTAAATTATTATTAAATAATTTATTATAATTTATAAATGATAATTGTGTACTGTATATTTGTAAAAGCTAGAAGAAAGGATTTTGAATCTTTTTCCCCATAAAGAAATACAGGTGCTTGAGGGCATGGCCATGTTTCACCTGATTTAAACAGTGTTTATATATACCCATACCGAAGCAGCACGTGGTACTACTACACTGATGTGGGCAGCTTTTGTTTTATGTATCAGGCAAAAGGTAAATTTAAAATAAGTTAGGAATCAGTAAATTATATACCACTGTCAACAGCTACAAAAAAAAAGAAGCACTTAAGGATGAACTAGATAAAATATCTGAGACGCCTGTGCACAGTACTCTAAAACTTTCCAGAATAAAACTGAAGAATTAAGAAAATGAGGCAAAGTAGTGTATCTTGTTTGGGTTAAGTCAGTGTGGCAGTCAGTGACCTCCCCTCGTGCCTGTACCACGGCTGGATGGAAATGAGCTGAATCTGAATTGAGCCTTTGGATCGATACTCTCCCTCCTGTTTATGGTTAGGTGTGGTATAGTAGAAAGGATGTAGACTTTGGCCTGATAGTTAATTGGGTTCAGCTTCAAGCCTCACAACTTCATATGCGAGCCTAGGGAAGTTGGTTACCTGCTTTTTTCATATATAAAGAGAATAATTACTTTGTCAGGGTTATGAAAACTGAATTTAGAGAAATAGAAAATAGTGTGGGTACTTAATTATTTAATTTGCTAGCTTCCCAGAAAAGACTGAAATATTTAAACAGGAATATTGCTCCAGTTCTTCATCCAGCGTGTCAGCGAACCACACCGTTTAACCCCACAATCAAACATTAGCCTTATATAATAGGCAGCTTCAGGGTCAGAAAGCTGATTCATATTGGGATGGCCCTGCCCCCTTGATGTCTTCTAAGTATTTTATCATAATCAAGTGGTTACTGCATTTTGGAATTTGATGAGTTAACTTGTTTGGAAAGAGTGATCTTTGGTTATAAGATTGTGGTGAATCACACTGAACAGTATTAGATTGTTTGCTATCTAGAAGAATTAGAAGAGATTATTCCTGCCAGAAGTATCGATATTTTATTGCTGCAAGTCATAGCACTAACCACTCTTACTTCATCCCCTTCTCTTCCAAGAGTTTCCTCTTCTTCCTTATTAATTATAAATCATGGAACCTCCTGAAGGCCAACTGCTATTACAAGAAATAACTCAGAACAGAAGAAGCTTCCAGTCTGTTCATGGTCTATGCTGATGTATACATCTTTCTCTTCCTGTTGTCTAGCCTGCCTCTGTGTGTGTGTGTGTGTGTGTGTGTGTGTGATGTGTGTGATGTGTAGGTGGAAGTCATGTAACAGTGACATTTAGTCAGTGTTGTACAACTATCCTCTGTCTAGTTCTAAACGTTTTTGTTACCACCCAAACCTTCTGCACCCTTTAAGAGCACTTGTACCCCATGATCCCCTCTTTTCAGCCCCAAAAATATTAGTCTGCTTTTTCTCTGGATTTGCCTTTCCTGGATGTTTCACATAAATGGAACGATAGAGTGAGTGACTTGTGTGTATTATCTGTCATATAGCATGTTTCAAAGGTTCATCCATGTAGCATGCTCTACTATTCCTTTTTATGGCTGGGGGAAAACCCCATTGTATCTATAGATGTCATCTGGTTGGTCCATTCATTGGTTGATGGACATTTTCGCCATTATGAGTTGTGGTCTTGTGATCTTTGTATACAAGTACTTGGATGCCTTCTTTGAATATTTGTCACCTGTACCTTGCTGTAGAATTGCTGAATCGTGGGAATTTGGTATTTAAGTTGGTTTTGTTGTTATTTTTGAGGGTCCTCCAACTAACTCGTTACCCAAGTTACTGTGCTTCTGACAGAGTTTTCTATCCCTTGTTGAGAGTGAGTTATCGAATTCTTCACCTGTTTTGCTGCGTAAGTCCTCAGCATGGGGCCATGTTTTAGTAAGCCCATTGCAAGTTGGAAAATGGTAACGTGTCCGGTGCGCCCAGCCTACCAGCGTCACCCTTAGTTATACAGCAGTGCACTGTACTCCTCATCCACCCTTCTGCAGCTCAGGCGGCCTGCAGCTTTGCTCCCATGTCCCATCATTGAAAGAAAATATCATACCACATATCACTAGCCTGGGAAGAAAAACCTAAATTTGGAATAAGGTTTTTACTGTGTGTGTATCACTTTCACACCACACTAAAGTTGAATAATTATTAAGTAACCATCTTGAAGACTTACATTATGTAGTGGTCTGTACAACTGTTAGATATTCTTGATTGAGTGATCTTCTGTAGATTCTTTGTGTCTAGTAAGTTTTTTAATTGAAGTGTGTTTTGTCTGATGCTGGTAGACCGTTTTGGGCCAAATTTACTCCCAGAAAAGATGTTGAAGTCCTAACTGAGGAACTTGTGAATGTCATATTATTTGGAAATAGGATCTTTACAAATAAATAGGTCTCTGTGGTCATTTGTTTTGGCAACCCTAGGAAACTTGAAGGCTATGAATGAGGTTTAACAGAATGCCTGGATTGTGAATGCAGCCTAGGAGCTGGGAAAGGCCTGTCACTGAAGGGGATCTGAGGGCCTAGACTGCCCTGAGGGATAGTTGGGATAAATGTGTGTGTTAGAGGCCGTCTGTGGAAAGCCTTAGCGGGAAGTGATGATCATGCTGGACTATGGGAAAAGACAATCTTTGTTATAAAGCTGCAGAGAAGTTGGCTAAATTGTTTTATCATTGGATGGAAAAGTAGAATTTATATGGGGTGAACTGGGATCTGAGATTTACCAGCAGATTACAGAAGGTGCACCTGATCTCTTGTTACTTAAACTAAAATGTAAAAGAGAAATGAGGGAATGAGCTGATTAGAAAAAAAGAACGAGCGTATGTAAATTTGGAGAGGGTTCTATTTATCTGTTGTTACATAACAATATCCTAAAGGCATTAGGTGTATAACTGGTGGATCCTGTCAGCCATCTCAGCAGAATTTGCAGTAGAAAAGATCTGTAGAGGTTCCTTTTGTTTAATGGTGTGGACTACATGAAGACTGACAGGGATTTTGAGAAATACGTATCAGCATAAACTGTCAGACCAACCTGAAAGGAACAAAAACAGGATGAAGTGAAAGAAAGATTTAAGGGGAGAATCACAAAGGCAGAACCGTAAGCATTAGAGAATTCCTGGAACCAAGCTGTTACCCCATGAGCCCAGAGTACAACGTGACCCCCAAAAGTTTATTCGTAGGCCTTAAGAATCTAAAGGAATGTGCTTTGCTAGTACTCTCTGTGTTATTAGAACGTCTGTGAATATGTACCTACCTTCGCCAGGGTGGAGAATATTCTGGATTAGAAAGCCTATTTCTGATGTTAACGTTTTATTCTGACTGTTGAAGGAAAGGATGGCTACCTCACTTTGAGGCAGTGCAGGGCGAGAGCAGTGGATGTGTGTGTGCCTGTGCATGGACTCTTCACGTGGCAGCACACTGGCACTGGTCTTGCCCGTGGGTTACCTCAAAATCACGGTATAGTTCTCAGTGACACCTGCATCAAGTAAAGGCATTCCTGTTAGGAAATTCCTTTTGATAATTCTCTGCAGATTGCCGGGTTGTAAAAACTTGGAAAACGAGATTTTTTTTGGTCCCTTTAATTCTGGTTATGTAGAGTGAGGAGGAAGCTCAGCAGCACAGCCTACCTGGTAAGAGTGAGGTCCTGAGATTGATCCCTGGTACCCCCAAAAAAAGGAATTCTGGTTACTTTTCTTAATTTAGTTTCTCTTTACTTTAGAACTAATGATTAGAATTTCATGAGTCAATTTACTTAGGCGTGTTATGCATACTTCTCTTGGTATTACTTTTTTTTTGATAGATGAGGTGATATAAAATTAGTATTTGCAGGGTTTGAAGGACTGTCTATAGTGTGATGACCTTATGGATAGATTTTCCTTAAAAATCTTGTTTTCACTTATTTCAGGAAAACTGGAGTTTTGTTTTTGGTTTGTTTTTTTTGTTTTTGTTGTTTTTTTTTTTTTTTAGAAAACATGTCCTTTCTTTCCTTTTTTAAGCACTGCATTTGTAGTTAGTATATCTTAAGGATGGTTGTTGGTTAGCTGTAAATTTAAAAGGGAATGGTATCTGTTTTTATCTAGATCCCAAGGAAGAGAAAGAGGAAGAAGACAGTTCTGCCCTCCCTCAGGAAGTTTCCATTGCTGCGACTAGACCCAGCCGTGGCTGGCGCAGCAGCAGCAGGACATCCATCTCTCGTGTTCGAGACACGGAGAATACCCGCAGCTCTCGGTCCAAGACTGGTTCATTGCAGCTCATCTGCAAGTCAGAACCAATTGCAGATCAGCTCGATTATGGTAACGTGGCAAGTAGACTAGGATTACTTAGTACCAGCTATTAATGTTTTTATTTTAAATGCAACGTTGAACTTTGCCTGAGGGGCTTAAGTTTCAGGGACAAGTATGGACAGTTTTCAGGCAGCCTTCGTTTAGATGATGCACTTAAGTATTTTGGTTGCACAGAGGAAATGTCTTATCTGTGCGTAAAGTTTTGATTTTGGTTTTATTTTTCTAGAAGTTGCGGAAGAACATCAGTCTCCCAGTGGCATTAGGTAAGGCTTTCTTATTTCATATTTAAACGTTTGGGTACATAGCACAGTGACATTAAATGATGCGGAAGTTGCTTTTTACCTGAAAGGATTTTGAACTGAAAGAGAAATGACATTTGGATTCCACCTTGATCTTGAGTAGAGTGTTTTAAACCGTGTAGCCTTGGGTTGTGTGGTGCAGAAACCATGTCTTGGGTACCTTCTGTGGGGGCTTGGTGCTTGGGACACTAAAGTGAACTCTGGGTATTTTGGTTGGGTTCCATGGTAAGCTGTGATTTTTGTCTGCTCATGGATCTCTTCTGATACAACTGATTTCCAGACATATTAGTGTAAAGGCAATTGTTTTTAATTCTTAGTGCCATTGAGTGGTCATTGCCCTGTCTTTATTTAACAGAGTGACATTATTTCTAGTATTTTTGTGGCTTGGGTTATTACTTAGGATAAAGCGACTGCTTTGCAGTCCACCTAGTCATAGGGATGAAAATTTAGATAACTAAGTGTGTCTTTTGCCTACTTTGAATTATCCAGTATAACCTAGTCATACAGGATCTCTACATCAGAGTGTATTTTTGTTCTTCTTTAGTAGTGATGAAGAAGAGGAGGAAGAAGAGATGTTAATCAGTGAAGAGGAAATACCATTCAAAGATGACCCAAGAGATGAGACCTACAAACCCCACTTAGAAAGGCACGTCTTGGAATTCACTCAGATGTGTCAGGGAACCACTGCACATGCTCACTCTTTGTCTTGTTGCCAAACTAGATAGAGAAGTAATTTTAAATGAGTACTTGTGCACTTGTATTTCAAATATGATGTGATCTTCCATTTTTAGGACTTTAATTTGATCGTATCACAATTACTAGATTTGTGCATATTTTATCTTAATGTGGTATCATGATTTGCCAGGATACGTAGAAATGTTGCATATTGTCTTATTTCTTTGAACAGCTACTGTGAAATTTGATTGTTAGGCGCCTAAAGCCTAAAATTTCACCCCATGGGTGTCCGATAAGTACAGTGTGACTGTGCGTGTGAGAAGCAGTTGGCAGGAAATCAGTGCCTGAGCTGAGGGTTAGAAGTTTAGGTAAATCACGATAAGCGCTTTTCCTTGCTGTTGTAGTCTTCTGTAAGAGGATCCTTGGTAGAATACCAATGGTAAACTGCTTTTGTGTTTTCAGGGAAACTCCAAAGCCACGGAGAAAATTGGGGAAGGTGAAGGAAGAGAAAGAAAAGAAAGAAATCAAAGTGGAAGTAGAAGTAGAGGTGAAAGAAGAGGAGAATGAAATTAGAGAAGACGAGGAACCGCCTAGAAAGTTAGTAGCCAATTTCTACTAAATATGGAAATGTAATAGATTTGGAAACAACTGGTGGAAAAAAGCAAGAGTGAGGAGGGATGTGAACATGCACATACTTCAGAACACACATTTCAGCTCCAAACACTACCAGCAGTAGCTGACGGTATTCTTGGAGAGATCCCTTCAGAAGCTCGACAAGCTTTCATTTTCATTCAAAGCAGACAATTTGAGGGGGAAGACTGGCTCTAGAGATTTCCTGTAGAGGAAATAAGAAACAAAACAAAACAAAATGGGGAAAACGGGTCCACAGAAGACGAGTAAACAAGGCAAATGATATAATGACCTTGATTAGGTAAAAATTTTCAGCTTTTTAAATTTATTCAAGGAGAGTAGAATTTATATTATTAGAGTTTTTAGGTAATGGTCTATTGATCTACTTTTTAAATTTAGGTGGTAAACTTCATTGGAACACCTCATTAACAGCTCTGCAGTGGTAATAGATTATATGTATTTAATCCAGGGTGCGCACAGGTTTTAAGGTGAAATTAATCCATTTTTAATCTTGCTTGATTTGCTAGATACATCTTAGGTTTTCTGTAGTAATCTGAATTATCCTGTTTGCTGCTTGCTCTTTGGCCTCAAATATATGCCTTCTGAGACATCCTTCGCCTCTTTCAACTTCAGCCTGAAATATGCTTTCTTTAATTTAGGAGAGGACGAAGGCGAAAAGATGACAAAAGTCCTCGTTTACCCAAAAGGAGGTGAGGAATTCATTCCCTGTTATCTTGTACTAGGCGGTGTACTCACTTGTGTAGCTCGCCTAATCTTGTAGGGATGGCTTATTTAAAATTTCATAAAGTAGTCTTAGTAGTGTTCGTGATAGGTAGGAACTATATTTTTATTTTCACTGCAGAATAAAGTTTCTGAAAAACTTGGTACTACCTTTCTACGTTCATGGAGATTGTGTTTATTTGTGCTATTTTTAAACACTGAAGCAGTTTGGCAGTTTGTGGTTACTTCTAACAAATTCTGTGCAAGAGAGCTTAATTATTTTGTAAAACAGCTATGCTTTATGGTACAGAGTTCCACTTTGCTGTTAACTTTTCTCCTGTATTTTGCTAATAGGAAAAAGCCTCCGATCCAGTATGTCCGTTGTGAGATGGAAGGATGTGGAACCGTTCTTGCTCACCCTCGCTATCTGCAGGTCAGTGACATTGTTATGTAAGACAGCCTTGCAAGGCAGGTTTCCTCACTTGTCCTCACACCCACTTCATGAGACTTGATGGGCGCATGTAGCTTTTATCATTGACACTGTCATGACAAGTGCTTGTGATGTACTGGAGTCCTTCTGTCCTAGTCCTTTTAGCAAATGTGCTGCCAGTTGAGCATGAGCACACTAGCCCGAGACTGGGTAACTGATTGATAAAGAACAGAAATGTCTGGGCTGCCCCATTTCGAAATTCAAAAGCACCGTGCTGTCTGGTGGGGGCCTTCTCAACTGCATCATCCTCTTAACAGAAGATGGAGGGCAAGAGGGATCTGAGCACACTTTGGTAACAGTTCTCCTCCTGTGTGCATCACTCTGATCCATTCGCGGGTCAGAGCACACATCCCAGCACGGCTGCACTGAGGCTTAGTGTTCCAGTGCGTGAGCTTGGAGGATTACATTCAAATCACACCGTGTTTTGTTGAAAAGAAGGTGGCTGGGAACCTGAGCCCAGATGTCGGGCTTTCCTTGGGGTTTGGGGGATTGCAGTATTTCCCGAAGCAGTGTAAATACTTCTGAGCTGAGAAGTGATGTCACAAGGCACAAAATGAGATTAGAGACTGCAGAATGAGTAAAAAAAAAAAAGTTTTAGTTGGTTTTTTTGTTTGTTTGTTTTATTTAAATGAGCAGTGGCACAGCTTATATTTGGTCCTGACAGAAAATATGAATGTGAAAAAGTGTTGGCCCTTTAGCAGCAGGTACAACCTCTTGAGACTAAGCCATTTCTTTCAATTTTGGTTCTGATTATAGCTACTACTCTTTTGCTGTGTGTCATTTGCTACACTAAACGCTGTAAAATTTTTTATCTCTTTACACACTGCCTCCCCTTCCATATACACAATACTTGGTTTTTCCTCTACTCTTAGTACTTAGAAAAGAACTTTCAGGAAGCCTTGATTTTTATCGCTTTCGTTTCCTTTTATACCCATTAATTCCCATTAATGTGTTTTAGCACCACATTAAATATCAGCATTTGCTGAAGAAGAAATATGTATGTCCACATCCCTCTTGCGGACGGCTCTTCCGGCTCCAGAAGCAGCTTCTACGACATGCCAAACATCATACAGGTGCTTTTATCTGTATTTTAGGTTTGCAAATTGGTACTGATGTAATTTTTTTCTAACAAAAGTTTGAGTCCTCGGTAATGTGGGGGAAAGACACAAATAAAATGTAATAAATTTTATAAGGGTGATCAAATTCAGTCTTCTGAACTTACACTCTTAATTTTGAGAACTTCTATAACCAGGGTAATGATCTTTTCATTGAACATAAATTCTGTATCAACTTTCAATTGAACACTTTATATTATTGCTAATCTGTCCACTCAACACCACCAGTTTGGTTTGGGGTTTTTGGGGGGGATTTTTTTGTTTGTTTGTTTTGTTTTGTTTTGTTTGAGACAGGGTCTCACTATATAGTTGAGACTGACCTGGAACTCACTAGGTACCTCACCTGGTCTTCGAACTCACAGCGATCCTCCTGCCTCAGCCTCCCGAGTGCTGGGATTACAGGCGTGCGCCACCACGACTGGCTGGTTTGGGCTTATTTTATATCTTAGAAACCAGAGATTTAGCAGCATTCTGTAATCACTATGGTCATCCAGCTAGTAGTTAGCAGAACGAGGATTTTAAAATTCTGCTTCAGATAAGATGCTTGTAGTAGCTGTCGTGTAGTAAAACTGGGTAACACTGGAGAGAAAACATAAACTGTCAAAGAAGCTTGCTTGTAATTTGCCGGTTAACCCTTAAATAGCCGCAGGGACTTCTGCTGCTGTGGAAATCATGAAGACTAGCTGTTGGTTTTGCATGTAAATGTGTGTAGGAACTGTGGACTCCAAAAGAGAAGCTCAAGGCAATATCTGTTACAGACTCAATTCTGTTCACTGATAATTGCTGACAGTCTTAGTTCCGTGCATCCTACAAACACAGTTTGGCCTGGGTCTTACTGGTACATGCTGCTACTTAGGTATGTCTCAGACACTTGATTATTACATGTTTTCTTCTCGGTCTTGGAGGGTAATACTAGGAATTCAAGGTTCAGAAATATGTCTACTCCCCAAGATGATACCTACATAAAGTACTCTTTCCTCCATATGCTGTATGTATGGCCGAAGGAAGTCATTTAGGTTCTCTGCTTCTCACTTTGCCTTAACTGTAAAGTAAGGATGTCAGTATCACAGGTACTGCGCGTATAAAATGAGGTGATATATAAAGTGCGATTTACTGCACAGAGCTCAGCATGTGGTACACTTTTGCAAAACACTGTATTGGAACTTGGTTTTTAATCACCAAGAAATCTACAGTTTTTTATTGTGCAGTGCTTCCTAAAAGGGTATGCTGTCTTCACTGATTCTCAGTGGGTGCTGTAGATCTTCTCTGCCCTCTCCCTAGTTACACTATTTTAGCCCACAAAAACGTTTTCCCATAGCCAGTTAGAATTTTGCCCAGTATCAGAAGTCTGTGATAAAGCACTTCCTATGCTTTCACTCGGTTCCAAGTACTTGTGTTTGCCCATACACTTGTATGGCGTTAGTTTCCTGCAGCAAATCCATGGGTACCGGCTCCCTTTCCAGATTCAGCCTGATTAGTTAGCTCCGGTGCCCCCCAGACTTGCCATGCTGTTGGGGAGGAGGACAAGATGCAGTTGAGGCTGGAGTTGTCCCTGTTAGGGTTACGTGCATTTTTAGTCCTGCCATGCAGGGCCCCACACACTGCCCCTGCTGGTGTTCCTGGACTGGGCGCAGACAGAGTCTCAGGCCCTGCCTCAGGTGTGATGAGTCAGCACAGGCGTCAGTAAGATCCCCAGGTGATTATATGTTAGAAAAAAAACACGGCTCTTTGCTGCACTTGGCTTCAAAGCCATTTTGGGAAGGAGTGCTAGATTGCATTGTTCACCACTTACCTTACATTCATGCTTTAATTGTACCTATAGCTAGAACTTTTGAATGCCGTAGAAAGTGTGGTCATTCAACAATATTTTGTATCTGTTTGTCTTTACCCAATAAATAAGAACAGTGATCCTGTGCCCTGTGGGTTCCAAACCATCTTACCAAATTGACCCAAACTGTGGAATTGGAAAAGGGGAATTATGAAGTGACAGAGGAAAGTAATAGAATGCTGCAGAAGATACAGGGTAGAAGGCTAAGGTGAAAGAACACAAACACTGTCTGCATATATTTGAATGTGAAGTATTTGTTTATTTTGGTAGCGTTTTTAAAAGGTGGAATAGCTATGGTTGTTTTAGATGAGTATACATTCTGGGGGAAGGCTTTTTTTTTGTTTGCACTGAGTTATGTCCTTAGCCCTTTTTTATTTTAAAACCGGGCCTTGCTAAGCTGCTTGGGTTGAGCTTGAACTTGAGATCCTCCTGCCTCAACCCCCCCGCCATTACAGATTTACAGATGTGTGCCACCATACCCCGTTGGGAATGCCAAATTACTCTTTGGGTTTTGTTTGGATACTAGATTCTTTTTATGTAAGCGTTCTTTTCATCTTCCATAATCTGTGAAAAAATTGTTTCAAAGAATAAAATCTATAGAAAAATGTAGTTATTTACCTTCTAACCGATTTACCTAAAATCAGCATTAGTGGTGACACTGAGATTAGGATTCCACTTCTCATGTTTCTGAGTTTTCTTGTTTGCTTATTTTTAAACAAGTCCTTATTTATATATAAGCTAAAAGACCAGAAGCATAGTTTGCTTATGTAGATTTTATTGAAAGTATCCGTGCATTGAGAGCAGCATTGCATGCCCCTGATTTGACTGCCTGATGCCTGCTTGCTGGTGCTGGGGACATTGATCACATCACTCTCCCCTTAGATCAGAGGGATTACATCTGCGAGTATTGTGCTCGGGCCTTCAAGAGTTCCCACAATCTGGCAGTGCACCGGATGATTCACACTGGCGAGAAGCCGTTACAGTGAGTATTTCCTGGGGACCCCTCCTGACCAGTGTGTAGACCCCACGGGAAGGTTTACCCCGACAAACATTTCAGCCACCGCTCTTAGTTTTACCAAATTAAATAATTGTGTGTGCTGATGGGGTGAGCTGCTTTAAAGAGAAGAAAAACATCAGCTTTCTGTCCAGTAGTTTACTGATCCTTCACAAAAAGCATGTGTAACTGATGAGTATCTGTGTGATCCATGTGAGCTGAGTTCTCACCGGACCTTTCAGTCGCAGCGCTCCGGTTCTGTTTCATCTCCTATTTCCTCTTCCGCTCTCCCTAGATGTGAGATCTGTGGATTTACCTGTCGACAGAAGGCATCCCTCAACTGGCACATGAAGAAGCATGACGCAGACTCCTTCTACCAGTTCTCTTGCAATATCTGTGGCAAAAAATTTGAAAAGAAGGACAGTGTAGTGGCACACAAAGCAAAAAGCCACCCCGAGGTGCTGATCGCAGAAGCTCTGGCTGCCAATGCGGGCGCCCTCATCACCAGCACAGATATCTTGGGCACTAACCCAGAGTCCCTGACGCAACCTGCAGACGCTCAGGGTCTTCCTCTTCTTTCCGAGCCGCTGGGAAACTCAGCCTCTGGAGAGTGCCTGCTGCTGGAGGCCGAAGGGATGTCGAAGTCGTACTGCAGTGGGACGGAGCGGGTGAGCCTCATGGCTGACGGGAAGATCTTTGTGGGAGGCGGCAGCAGCGGGGGCGCTGAAGGGCTGGTCATGAACTCGGATATACTCGGTGCTACCACAGAGGTTCTGATTGAAGATTCAGACTCTACTGGACCTTAGTGGAAAGGAAGACTTTGGGCACTGGGACAGTTTGGACTTTGTATTTAAAAGATAAAACGGACAAAAAAAATTTAAAGCATTTAAAATCTAGTAAAATAACTGAAGGGCCTGCTCTTTCCATTGTGGATCACAGCACACACACCCCAGCCCCAGAACTCCCTCTCTTTCCCCCTTACCACATCGATGTTGCCTTTTCCAGGAAGGTAGACAGCAGAAAGCAGCAGCAGCTCTGACAGTGAGGCTTCTCACTCAGTCCCAGCCAGCAGCACACTTCCTGCTTATTGACAGGTCCCCCTTTCCAACTTGTAACTCTCATATGCTCTGGATCGGCCTTTAACTCTTACGGTATCTTACTGACTTCTCATTCTTTCTCCTCTCCTGCTGCCCTATGGTTCTGGCTTCTACCCACTGTGGCACACCTACGCTCCAATACTATATAATCCCAACTTCTGGAGGCTGGCAGCTTGACCTGGCACTTTAGGGCCCTTCACAGGGTGTGCTGTTAAACAGCACACATCTCTCACCCCCTCTGCCGCTCCCCTCTGGGCTTTGGAAAGGAAGGTTAATATGGACCACCCTCCTCCTCTCCGGCCCCAGCGCCTCCGTCCCCTCCCAAACCTCCCTGTGACTCTTACGGTGCTCACTGGCTTGGAAGCAGGCTCCCCGGAGGGATGAGGCTGCCCTCTCTTCACAGTCTCGGGCTACAACACAGGGCTCTATCCGTACGACGGTGAGAAAAGTCCCAGGCTGATGGCAGAAATTTGCACTTTGAACATGTGTGTTTTTGTGTTGTGGAACCTGAGATTCCTTATTTATTAATGGAAAGTCTGATTTGTTGCGGGGGGTGGGGTCTTCATTGCTATGTGTTGTGGGGCTGGGAGAAGTGTGATTATTCTGACATAGGATCCTTTCCACAAGAGGTTCTTTGAAGGCAAGGCATAGGGTTGAAGAAGCACAGCCAGCCTCTAAACTCATAGCTCTCCAGTGGCCTTTACCGAAAGCTGTTCCTCAGCACTAACAAAAATCACTGCAGTGGCCTAGTGCTCTTTTTGGAAGCCTCTTTAGGGAAGGTTGATGGGTTCATGGTGACTTGTGTGCTCTTTGGGATTTTAAGAGCATAGAGATTGAGGAGTCTTAAGGGGATGAGGAAAGTTGTTCAGGGTCTAAATTACAGATGAAAAATTTTCTTGTGTGAATTGTTCTTTTGTTCTCACCATTTCCTTACATAGATGCCTACCTTCTGTCCCTGCGTTTTGTTTTTGTTTTCTGCTTTGCTTTATATGGTTCATTGTGGCTCCCTGATAGTGAAGAAGCAGTGTCTAGGGGTCCTGAGTCAGACGAAAGCTGCTGTTCTGTTTCCCTGCTAGTAACACCTCAGAAAGGGCTCACTAGACAAAGTAATCTGTATAGTAAGAGCGTGGCTTTCACTGGAAATTAACACTTCTTCGGAAAAGGGGTTTTCCTGGAGTATGGAATGCTTGTAGAACTCCGCGGAAGACAAGTAGTGTTATGTACAAATTCTTCACTCCCAGAAGAGGAAGCACCTATCGGCTCCTTGGAGAACTAGAAGGGCAGCACCTGTCCCGACCCCAGTACTTCGGAAGCTGGAACGGAAGCCGTATCCTGTTCCTTGTCTGCTGTCAGAAGTGTGTGCTGGCTGTTGGGAAGAATGAAGTTTTTCAGCAAACAAAACGGAGAACAGCTTTTTTTCACAAAAACTAAAGCTAAAAAGTTTATCCATTTCTTGATTTTTTTTTTCTCAGAAGGACAGATAAATGTCATCTGAAAGAGACCCCAGCAGCAGAGGAGGAAAGAGCAAGACACCTACGGGAAATGGTCTCACGTGCACTCTGGTTTCCTTCCAGGTTGCAGATTTGCTGTCTCTCCAGTGTAAGGGTAGAAAAGGGAGGAAGGGATGGAGAATATATTTTGCTGGCCACAGAGTTTTCAGCTGACCTTGATACACTGAGTAGATTTTAACTGTTTTAGATTGTCTGGGTGGCTCTACGACAAAGTTGTTCCGTTTGTACTGTTTCACTAGCTGGCATCTACACCCTACACTCACCTTCGCCTTTGTTACACTTAGACTTTGTCTCTTTGAATTTCACATCATCAGATAGTTTAGCCAGGTATTTTTAAGGCAAATGGCATTTAAACAAAAAAACAGCAACTTTTCTTTCTGGGGTAGGGAAATACAGTCTCCCTCCCTATACCATACTCTCCTCCCCACGAAAAGCAATTTGTTATCTCTAATAATTAGAACTTTCAGTCTTTTTAACCTTTTTACAGCTAGCATTTGCTGACAATAAATTACTGTAAGTGTTTGCAGTAGATTTTTTTGCATGGACTTTGTGTTTTTCCTTTTGAGAAGTCCTGGCATGGTCAGGAATCAGTGTATGTAAACTAAGCCCTTTCCTTTCTGCTCCCCACGCTGGTATTCACTTCATTGTCCTTCCCAGGAGCTCTTTTCATCTTGAAAGTCTGTATTTTCTACTCTTTGTCAACGTCCCTTCACATTCTCCATCGTGAATTGGAAATTCTAAATTGTGATAATGTAGTTGAGATGCAGCTATTTAATATTTCTAGATGTACCTGTCCCTTAATTGTTTTTGCCCAGGGTTATTTTGCATAATTAGACTCCTTAATATATTTCAGAGAGTTTAGACGGACGCTGGCGGGGAGTTCTGGGAGGAAAGAAGGTATAGAAAAGCATCCACATAGAGCATAGAGCACTTGAACCTCCTTTGTACCTATATGGAGGAAAAACCATATGAAAATACACTACCAAACTAAGTAAGGTTATTACGGTCTCTGTTTAAAGTACCATTTTTTTCCTCCTGTCTTTTTCCTACTTTCCAGTATACTCAAGAAAATTGAAAGAAATGTAATGGATCAATTTAAAATATTTTATTTCCTAAAAGCCTTTTTTGCCTATTGTAATGTGCGAGACCCTTCTCCTTTGAGGGGAGAGATGGGTTATTATCTGAATATAGGTTGGAAAGGTTATGTACAAAGAAATTATAATAAAAGGGATCCTTTGCTTTTCAAATCCTTGTTTTTTCTTAATCTGGTAAGGCATATCCAAAATAAGTATGTAAAGAAAGAAAAAATAAAAGTTCTCCTCATGGAAGCAGCTTGTCTTCCTTGGTTGTACTGAGCTACAGTGTCCTGGGGTGAAACAAGTGGTGCTGTTAATGAGAACCAAGTCCCTCGGCAGCTCTCCTGTTGCTCTTGTAAAGTCAGGGGCACTTTTTGATTGCCCTTGATTTTTAGTACATAGATACTGTGAGATTCTGTGAAAACAGAAACCCAAATGGGTGATGGTTTAGTAGCCTTCTAGCAAAACTAGCCTTGTTGATCTAGTAAAGAGAACATTAAGAATGCTCTGAGGTTAATGTCCCTGATAATGACAACCGTGTCAGCATTCAGTATCACTGCAATACTCAGTATCCACAGTATCAACTTTTGTTTGTTTGTTTGTTTTTGTTTTTTGAGACAGGTTCTCACTATATAGTTGAGACTGATGTAGAACTCACTATGTAGCCCAGGCTGGTCTTGAACTCACAGTGATCCTCCTGCCTCAGCCTTCCAAGTCCTGGGATTACAGGTGTGCGCCACCACACCTGGCTCACATAGTATCAACTTTAAAAAGAAGAAAAAGAATCTTACCTTTGAAAGGTCTTCCTGTGACAGCCACCTACCGTCCTTTCCCCCTTCACTGTTTACCTGTGTAAACTGACTGGAGATGGTAGCATCTATGCTGTGAAACTAAAAGTTCACTGATACAGTTAGCGTCATTCTCTGAGTTAAATGCAATAGAATGACGGTTCTCCAGTCAGCTTTTAACTCTCTTGCCTTCATTTTCAAAGCTCAGCTCATTCTCTTATTAAAAAGCATGTGCAGTGCTGGGGACCAGGAAAAGAACGGAAAGTGTTGTCACTGGAGTAGGACTGCAGGAGAAATGTTACCAAGCTAGGGCTGGATGTTTCCTCAGAAGAGAACAAGCCTGAACAGGACCTTCCATATCTGTAGTCACCAGAAAGGCACCGTGAGTGAGATTAGAGATGCTGCTTCAGTTGACTTTGTAATCAAGTGCAAATTAACTTCAAAAAGTACTGATCAGAAGACTGGAAGTGAAAAAAATGCATTTTTAAAGGACCATTTTCACATAAACAGTTTCTTGCATTAAAAAAAAAATCGAAAACTTGGTGGGAAAAAATACCTGAATCCAAAGACCTTTATATAAATTTGAATGTAGTTTATTGGATTTTGTGCGCATTATTCTTAAGTTTTATGTAAGAATGGGAAAATTAATACTGAGTTCATCTAAAGATCAAATGTTTTTTTAAAGTCTGTTCTGTTCAGAGTCAGCCGTTGCAGTTGTTTAATAATTATATCAATAATAATAACAACATTGAACCCTATCAGGCCAAATCAAAAACAAAGACAGCAGGCAGCGGGCAGGTGATGGAGTGAACTGATTCTGCGTGTGTAGTATGTCAGTTGCATTAGGCAAGGGTGTCAGGAGGATTGAGGTGGTAGTGACCTTGTTGCTAAGTACAGAAGCAAAATAGAAACAAGTGTGCCAAGTACCGAGTGGAGGAGAGAGATGGAGGCAGACACTGTAGGGGGAAAAATGTGATTTAAAAGGGCCCTTTCATTCCACAGGCACAAAAATCCACAGCCAGGAATTTGCTGCCACCTCTGAGACAGTCGGGGGTGGGGGCCACAGTCCCATCAGAGAATGCCCAGTGGACCAGCCTGCAAGTCACATTCCTGATTGGGACCCGTGCAGGCAGGAGCAGACCCAGCTCACTTGTTTCCTGGGTGGTAGATCGGGATGGCTTTTGCAGAGCTTTCACCACTGACCCCTCGTCGCCGGGACCTCTGCAGCCGTTCTATCTGGCTAGCAAGAAAGATTCGTTCAGACCTGACTGCCCTCGTGGAATCTTACGTAAGTCGTCTGTGTTACTTATCTGTTTCCCTGCATCTCTCCAGACCCAGCTGGTGCCTTACCATCACTGTCAGCCCCATGAGCCATCCGGAAAGCCGGGTCACGGTCCTGTCTGATGGACACCTGTCATTTGACGCAGCTCTTTGCCCTGTGGAAACTCAGGTGACCTCCGTGTCTTTCTCCACTGTTTGGCAGACGTGTTCCTCCTCCAGTGAGGGAGATGTGAGGTTTTTGGTAGGATTGGCTATCGGGGGCTATTCCTAACTTAATACCCTGTATTCTGAATTCCTCCAGAATAGATTAACTGTTTAGTTCTGTAGATACTTTTCCAGATTTTTGAGCTATATAAAATGAAAGGTTTATAAGATGGGGCAGAAGAGCCATATGAACTTAAAAATTTGTAAATCAGACTTCTCTTACACAGGGTTAGCTCCTCACTTTTTAGCATGACATCAGAAGTGTCCTTGTGGCCGATTAGAAAGATCACCTAAGCTGTCAGAAGGGGGACTTACAGAAGTGTCAGTTCTTGAGCTCTGCATGGACTTCCAGCTTGGCTTCCTGAAAGAGGAGTCTGCATCAGTAAGTCCTGCGGTGGAAGTGCTCCAGGCTCCTTGGGAAGTTCCTGAACATCACTTGTGAGAATTGCTTTAGCTTTGAACAGCCTTGCAAGTCAGAAATCAGGCGATTCTTTTTTTAAAAAAAAACAGTTCCTGCGGTATTGACTTCAGTAAGAGTGGGCAGTAGGGAGAGGAAGGAGAGAGGAAATTTCGACAGTAGCTACTCCAGCATGTCCCGAGCATAGCCAGTGTCTTCCTGTATGTTTAAAATACTTAGCCTGCAGTATGATTTCAATATTTCAGGAGACAGTTTGAAGCACTGATACAGAAAGCATTTCTATATCAGTGGTTTCCAACCTTTACAACTTACTGAAAGTTGAGTATTCTTCCGGGAAAAATGCAGACAGTCTCAGGGAGATTGCCGTCTTCCTGGTCATGGATCCCAGATTTTCTGTTCTGGACGTTTATTTTCTTTACACTGGATCTTCGGCCAGAGAGGTTAGTGAGGTTTTGTGTGATCTAAGTAAGGACCCAGGATGATTGCACAGGCGTCACGGCACGCTCTCCCGTCTCTTCGGCCAGGTGAAGCATCAGGGTCTGAACAAGTCGGTCAGCCTGGACTCTGTGGACGGGGTGCCTGTGGCGAGTACCGACCAGTGGAGCGAGCTGACGGAGGCGGAGCGGCTCCAGGAGAACCTGCGCGCCTACCGCACCTTCCGCGCCCTGCTGGCCAGGCTTCTGGAAGAGCAGCAGGTCCACTTCGCCCCCGCCGAGAGTGACTTCCACCAGGCTGTACGCACGCTCGGGCTCCAGGTTTCCGGCTTTGCCTACCAGCTGGAGGAGCTCATGGTGCTCCTGGGACACGAGGTCCCCCCGGACGAGGTCCACGGAGCGCCTGTGGGAGATGGGGGGCTCTTTGAGAAGAAGTTGTGGGGCCTGAAGGTGCTGCAGGAGCTCTCCCAGTGGACCGTGAGGTCCATCCGGGACCTGCGGGTCATTTCCTCCCTGCCGGCCGAGGGCCCCCGGCACCTTGCCAAGGGTCAGAAGATGTAGCGTGGGCCCTCCCTCCTGCTCGCCTCCCTTTGGATGGGACGTTCAGGGTCCTGAGTGGCTTTGAACAGCTCTAAGGCCTCATCAAGTAGGGCTAAAGACGCGTGCGTGTCGGGTGCAGGGAGCTTTGTGTCGCCCAGCCTCTAACCTGTCCATCCTCGAGTGACCTTTACAGTAACGGCCTCGCAGACCCAAAGGTAAACATTTTAACTCTAGTTCTGGGAGACTCCTGAAAGACTAAGCTAATAAAAACCGTGCGCTCTAGCTGTTCAAACTCTCAGGCAATAAACGTGATGGCTAACACCTTCGCAGCTGCTGTCTCGGGCAGGGCGCCGAGGGCTTTGGGGCATTAGGTGTAACTTGCGGCACGGTGGGAGGGAGAAGACAGGGTGCTCTTGGACCTGGCTGAGGTCCCGGCTGCGAGGAGCGCCCTCTGCTTGAACCCAGGCCTGTGCCCTTCCCGAGGCCCAGCCGTGGACCTGTCACTGCACCTCTTGGCCGTAGTCTGCCCCGAGCGTGGGAAACACCATTCCAGTCCCTCAGGGGTCAGTAGCAGACTCTAAAAAGGCAGAGTCTGTCACCTACACTTGACCAGGAGGAGAGCAGCTCGAGGTGTTTGGCTCCACCAGACTGGGGGGCCGGGAAGGTGCAGAAATCCGACCTGGTCTACGCGGAGGCACCGCAGCTGGCCCTGCGGCCCGTGGCCCAAGCATCCGGGAACAGTGAGTGGACGCTCAGGCTTCATCAGCCCGCCTCTTCTGGACACTGCTCCCACTGGGAATGCCAGAGATTCCACCGCGCCTGCAGCACCGACCCCAGGCTGCACCAAAGGCTCGGCTGTGCTCGCGACACTGCGAGGGCGGCGCGAAGGCTGTGGCCTGCTGGGCGCGGGAAGGCTCTTTGCAGCACTGCCGTGTCTTGGTGCAGCGGGAATGCAGACGTTCTGGGGGTCACGTATTGTACGCCTAACTCGTAGCTAAAGCTCGAGATCTTGGGTTGGTGCAGTAAATTCAGTGCGACTGGTCAAGGCGTTTTCCTGACCTGTGAGTCAGGAAGGGCTCGCTGACACTGTCACAAGACGCCGGATGCATGACAGCTTGGTGCTTCACCAGTCGGGCAGTCGCTGTTTTGACAGGACGTGGACTCAGCTTTGTGGGCCCTTAGGGAAAGTAAGGCCCTGCTTTCTAATACACATTTGTGGGGACGTGTGTAAAAATGAAAATATAAATACCAGTAGTAGGTTGAAGGCCTGGGTTTAAATCTTGAAGAAATGAGGGCCAGAAATCATTTCTTGGAGTAGAGAGGAGCTATTGTCTAAGGGATCGGCTGAAAGCAATGTAGGGGAAAATGAAAGAAATGGCGAAGAGTTGGCCACTTAAAAAAAAAAGGCAATAATAATAATAACATATTTTGGCCCAGCTATCAGCAGAGGCTTATTTGGTTTTTATTTTACCTGTAATTTTGGCACAGACAGACAGCTTCTCACTAAAATACAGAAGCTTATTTTATTCAAGCTTTTCCTCATTTAAATTATCTCTTCTGCTTAATACTAGCATTTTTTTTTCCTTTAGTAAATATCTGCTCACTAATGTAAGGCCCTTTAGATTATCTGGGAAGTGGTTTCAGTTAAAGGAGAAGCGGAGCTGCCTACGTCTGGAGTGAGCGACCCCTCCACTTGTCCTGTGTCCAGCAGGTGTGGCGTGGCAGACTGCAGAAGTCAGGTGAGCAGAGGGGCAGGGAGGAACAGGTAGGAACCGTCAAATGCCAGGGCCGGGGAGGTGTGAGCCTCATCCCACAAGTGCATTCCCAGCACCGGTTTCTCCTCGAGACTTGATGTGCCTCAGAATGGGAAGTGGACGCTTCTCCGTGTAACAAAACGACACAGCTGGGGCCTGAATGTGCACCTGGAGAGGGTGACGCGGTTGGATAAGGCCTGACCGCCCTCTGGGTGGTGTCTCGCGATGCAGGAAGGCGTAATGGAAACACTGTAGGAGTGCTTGTGTTTTAAAGACCCATAACCCCAAAGGGGCTTTTTTATTTAGGTTTTATTCCCTTGGTTCTTAGGACGGAGTTATGGATAGGCTCTCTGGGCAGTCAGCTGTAACAAAGCACATAACTTTACTTCTACCCTCCAATACCTACTTTGTAAAAAGTATCCTTTTACTCAGCCTCCAGAGAGGTCCTTGCTGCAGAGACCCATTCTGTTTTCTGAGTCTGTTAAGAAATTACATGGCTGATAGTAGATCTGTCTCAAGAGGATGATTTGGAAAATCCTCGCCGACTGTCATAAACGTGAAGGCCAGACATAAAGTTCATTTGAAGATAGTGAGGGTCAAGTGAAGTGAGAATTTTAATAAAAATGGAAAGTGTAAGGTCATAGCCTTGGTACTGCTGTTATTTCAAGCACTGCGGACGAAAGCCAAAAGATGACTCATTGTTGTGAACACCGGTCAGACAGGCAGAGGACACGTAGATATTTTAGGGAGACATGTCTGAAAGGTGGTCTAGAATGACTTGTCTCTGAATTCGAAGCTTCGTGGGTGCCGCTGTGCTCTCTTTCTCCTCTCTTTTGAGGGGATAGAGATGCAGGAAGCAGAGACCTCCACAGAAGGGGAAGACGCAGGGGAAAGGGAGTAGCCAGTGAGAAAATGTGGGCGGCCACTGAGCTGTGTGCGTGTGTGTGCGCGTGGGGTGCCCGTGCAGTGTCTGGGCCGGGACTTTCCTTACAAGAATGACCTGGCCTGCTGGCTCACCCACCCTCCTCCTCAAGCAGCAAGCTCAGGAATGAGCCCTCTGAATGCTGTTGCACTCAGAAAGTGAAAAATGATAAACAGCTCCGTCTTGGCACAGAAGCTTCGGCAAAGTTCTGGGTACTGCAGATAAAGACAGTGAAAAGATAATTTGGTCTTTTGATGAAATGTTGTGTGGAGTGTGAGACAAAATTCATGTGCTTGTGACTCGACATGACGTGTATTTCTTCAATTTATCTATTTTTGGCCCACGAAAAATAAGACGCCAGAATGGCTAACAATAAAGTTGTCCACTCTGGAAGAGCAGGAGTTGCTTCTTTTACCGTTGTGTCTTTGGATGAACAGGGGAATTTCGAGTGATTTCAACAGTTGATGAAATGTGATCCTCCAAGCCAGCGCGGGACTCGCTACAGCGTGCTGGGGAATCTGCACAATGCCAGGCCGCTGGGCAGAACTCCCAGGACCAAGTCGGCCTGGAGAAGGCTGTGCGCACGCACTGTGGGCTCCCACTGGGGAGAGCCTCCTCTCTGTGGCTTAATTTCAAGAACTGGACCCCCGTGGAGACGGGGGCATTAAAAGAACTCTGACCAGCTCGTTTCTGGTCAGCTTGGGGGTAAAAACTAAGTTGTGGGAGACGATATAAGGATTTGCAGGTGTTCTCACGCAAGGAGATTCTGTATTTCTAGGTAGTCAAGGCCACCTACTTGCCATGGCAGACAACTCTCCACTATCTTAGGTCCTTTAATCCACTGGGGTGTTCTCTTTCATAGGTAACAAATGGCAATGAGTCTGAATTTGCCCAAGCTCATTCCTCTAGCACGTGGTGGGGCTGAAGTTTCAAACTCAGTCGCTACACCGTGTGCTATGGGGTCATCTCATTCTAAAGCTCACTCTCCCTCTCTGTGATTCACTCTTTGGATAAAGCCAGTACAGGCTTGCACCAAACCTCCCACTGTAACAAACCAAGTGAGCTTCCAAACAGGTCACCTTTCCTGACCTCCATCCTTCAAAATGGAAATGACAACTAACTTCCCAGGTTGTTGTACACCATGTGGGCAAATCGCAGGTCCGACAGCACTTGTGACAAACGGACGTCAAGTGCCAAGTGTGCTTAGTGTCTCCGGTGGTTGAATTCATGTCAGACTTTGGGTGGAGGAGCGATCGTATTCAGGGTACCCCTTCCTTGTTGGAATTGATCTGCTCTCAGCCTTGACTGCACCCTGCTGCTTTTGCCCGTGAGAGGCCAATCCAGCCTCACACAGAGGCTCTGGAGCAGTGCGGTCCAGCTGTTCTCAGCACCCAGAAAGTGGCCTCCACAGTATTTGGGGTCACACAAGTTCTGGAAAGCTTGGCAGGATCTGGAGGAAGCCAAGGAAACTTGAAAGCCAAGGCACCACCCAGGATCTGTGAAAGCACACATTTAGACTTCGATTTTCTACGATAAGTGTCATTTGAGGAAGCCACCCAGTGAAGCTTCTCAAAAATAGTATTCCGAGGTGGTGTCTTCAGGTGAGACCCACCTTTGTGTTACACCACGAGGGAAGGGGTTAGGTCTGGCGTCTCTCACTTAGCAATCCCCAGAAGCTTGGAGCAACAGGTGGGTTCTCAAATAATTTGAGAAGTCACTGGAAAAAATAATGTCAATATTCCCAGCCCTATTCTAAGTTTTAGGTCTCAGTCTCTGGAAGTTGCCTGCCCCGCTCCAACCAAATTCAACAGCAGTACATATTGATATTTCTTGTGGGCCAGTACTAAGGAGATGAATTATAATGACAGCGAGTATTCACATGGTGTTCATTATGGGACAAAGCATTGTTCTGATTGCTTTACAGGCATGAACTCACTTGTTCCTCACCGGAACTCTGTGAGGTAGACAAAGAGGTTCTTATCTTACAAATGAAGAAACAGTTTCCTGCACTCCAAACACAGCCTCTTGGGAAAGGCAGGCGTTCGCCAACAGGGACAGCGCAGGGATATCAGGTATGGCGAGCAGATCATGCAGATTACAAAGGGCTTTGGGAGCACAGAGCAGGGAGGACCCGACAGCACCCTGGGGTTGGCACCTGACAGTAGGGCACTGGAAGATGATGGCTTTTGCCCTCAGGCAGAAACGAGAGAAAGATCTGCTGGAATCCTGTGTCAGGGCTGCCGGAAGGCAGGTGGCAGTCTGAGACCACTGGGTACGACTGCAGGCCAGGATGCTTCAGGAGTTGTGGGACACCTTGGAAGGACAATCTGTGAGGGATTTTGGAAGACAAGAGATGCCTGCCTCAAACCTTTGTATTAGAAAGGATTCAGATGGCTATGTTGGCCTTGGAGGCAGAAGAATTCAAGAAGAAAGTGTGTGGTGCTCAGGGTGAAACTGGGTTTGTCATTGGTGAAAATGTCGCAGGTGCCAGCCAGGATGCGGAATACAGCCGTGTCCCCAGCCTCTTGCAATTTGCCTTTCTGGTGGGGAAAGACAGGCACCACACAGTTGTGTGATTTAGAGAGTGATAGAAACGAGGTAGGAAATGAAGAGGGTGCTAGAGAATTACCAAGAAAGAAGGCCACAGGTGGGAAGGATGCCCAGAGGGACGGTCGCTGGGCCTCCTCCCTCTCCGAGGAGTTCTCTGGAACTTCCCAGCAGCATCCAGGTTGCCCCACCAGAGGAAGGAGGAGCCCCCCTCGGAGACTGCGTCCCCCATGGTTCTGTGGTTGGTAGAGCCTTGGCGCCGGCGCCTGCAGACTGAACACCGTATTTGTTGGCTGGCGGCCTACTGCATTGTTCCTCACCGTCGTCAAGAAAGCTTTGCCATTGCACCCTTTCTGTCTCTCCTGAGGACTGAGTGCTGGGAAGGGGTCAGCTCTAAGGAGACTGGAGACTGGGAAGAGATGGTCAGGCACAGGGCCCCAAGGCAGGAGGGAGCCAGCGGCTGGAGCCAGGACAGCAGAGGAACGGCGCCAGGGCCCTGCAGCCGGAGGCCAGAAGAAACACGCCTGCCTGCCACTGCCAGGCCGGTGGGGGTCTCGCTCCTTCTGACCCGCACGGGAAGGTTGCGTCAGAAACCACGACAGCACCAGCACTGGCGTGGGGTGAGCAGGGCTTCACTCTACCTCGGCACTGCAGGAAGCAGGGCAGCTGTCTCGCTGCTGCAGCGGAGTCTCCGGTCACGTGAAGGCTGAGGCTCTGCAGTCCTGACCGGGCTTCACCCACCCCACGGCCACGGCCCAGGCAGGCACCGCTGCACAGGTGCCATGGCAGTGTCGCCTCACAGCAGCACGGGAGGATCGCCCTCGCCTCTGGCCAGGCCCCAGGGACTTGAGAAGCTCTCAAGTCCTACAGCAGCGCTGAGCCCAGCTTTGTGGTCTGCACCCACCTGAGCCCGTGGGTGTGCGGAACAGCGAACAGCGGGACGAGACCCGGGGAAGGGCGGCCAGTGTACACCTGACCTCCCAGGAGGAAACCCCAGATGCAGATCTCAGGAGAGTCCCAGGCTTGGCGTGGGAGTCCTCAAACAGTACTTCATGTGCAAGAAAAGGACAGTCTCGAAATTGGGCGCACAGCCCTCAGAAAACTGAAAAAAATGTAGGGGAGACGGGGAGCTGTGGGCTGTGCAGTGACCTTGTCATGCCTCTTAGGAGCAGCCTGTTGGTTTAACTTCCCTGTGGTCTTGTGTGTTGTGCTTTAAGCCTGCGTAGAGGGCTGTGGCCAGTCGGAAACAGCGCTGCGGTCTGCGTGCGGGGACAGAGCAGTTCTGCACACCAGGCCGTGTTTCTCCTTTCTCACTAGTGCTGAAATTGTGTGCGCAAAGGAATCGGGATTTCATTCTCACTGCTGAGCAGAGGGGACGGGTGCAGAGCTGTGCAGAGCTGACTGGCGGAAATTAGGCACTATTAGCACGGGATGGGGACCAAGCTACCTGTGTAACAAAGAGCAGCTCCCCCTAGATGAAAATCCAGCTTACACCGTATCTTACAAAGGAGCGCTGAAGCCCACGATGGGCTGCTGGTTGTATGGAGGGCAGAGTGTAGAAGCAAAGCATCCGGATGGCGAGAACCCAAGTTAAAACAGTGACAGTGGGCACAGAGGACAGAGGACAGATCTGAGCACAGGGGAGGACATGGCAGGTGGAGGGAGGGAAAGGCTGGCAAGTGTTAGGAAGGGACAGGCACTGAAGAGACCCACCTCCAACTAGGAGGACAGTGGACAAGTTAGGCAGGGAACAGGAATGGGGGGAAGATACTGAGTGTAGCACAGCACAGTATAAGTCTGTGTTTTAAATATGCTGAGCTGAATATGGAGGATGGGAGAAGGGGGAAATGACTAGGTATTGGGCAATACTGCATGGACAAAGTATATATAATCGGAGCAAAAGTCTTACGTTTAATTTCCTGAAATGCGCTATAGTTTCTAATGCAACTTTTAAGGACGCTCGTTGCATGGACCAAGCACAAGAGAGAACTTTTGGGTCCCCAGGGACAAGGGAGTGATTATGGGGAACAGATTGATACTATGAACTTTGTACCAATTATAAAAAGAGTTTCCAAGTTCGAAGTTGTACCAAGCGTCCCAGGGCCAGCACCAGTCCTGTCTTCTGTTGCTCTTCCTACCATGCTGCAGACCACCAGTGCCATGCCTGTGTCCGAGGAAAGCTGGGTTTATGGGCTCCTTTGCAGCCAGGACGGCAGCCAGATGTGGGAATTTACTCCATGCGGAAGTGGGGGCTCCTGGCCAAGAGGGTGCGATCTGGGACGTTGAGTCCCTGAGCTGTGTTTGAGGATTGGGAGGAGGGTTTGAAGACATCTGGGTGCTGATTCCATGCATATGTGCATTACGTTAGGTGCAGAAATGGCAGAATGGGCTAAAAGCTTTAGTACAGTAATGAGGCAGCAACGGCATTTGCTTATGCTTAAGGTTTGGACAGAATTCTTGCCATTGTCGAGCTGGGCTCGATGGCCATTCCTGCAACTGCAGCTCCCCATCCTCTGTTGGGGTGCCCCCTGCAGCTTCCTGCAGCTCCCTTTCTTACCGCGGAGAAGCCCCCACAGCTGCCAGGGAGCCCACACAGGTGCCAGCCGTGACCACGCTGCTGGGTCCTGAGCCTGCCTGGCTTCAGAGCCTGGCTGGAGAGAGGAGCTGTAACTGTCAGCTTGCAGCAGGGTCAGAGCCGACAGCCCGGGAGAGGCACCTGGACACTGGAGTCAAATGGGGCACGGCCTGTGGGAACGCAGGTGGGTAAGGCGGGGCAGGCAGAGATTTGGGCAGTGAAGGCAGGAGACCGGCGCCACTACTGAGGAAACC